TACATACATACATACGTACGTACTTACATACAGACATACATACATACATTTCTAGCACTCGCACTCGACGAATCAGGCGAGGTACCAGGGGAACATACATATATACATACATACGAACATACATACATACATACATACATACATACATACTTACTTACTTACATACCTACATACATACATACATACATACATAAATACAGACACATACATACATACATAAATACATACATACATACATACATACATACATACATACATACATACACACATAGACACATATACACATACCTACCTGCCCCACATAAGTACATGCATGCGCGACCAATAGTCCCTGGAATTAGACCTGTCGGCTTCATGTCCTCGTGTTTGTGTTCCCTTTCCCTGTGCAGGTGATGCCCGTGTCCTAAAATTGGTGAAGCTCCTTCGCTCCGGTGTGGTTCTCTCCAGTGGAGGCACTGGCTCTCAAACGGATCATAACATTGACACCCGGCGCTTCGTCACCTCCTGGGGTTATCGTGGCGGGCTAGCGTTCCACAATCTGCCCCACAAACAGCAACGACAGTCCCAGCCACTGTTGCCACGTTTGAGATATGAAGTTGCTCAGGATGTCCAGAACTTGCGGAAGACACCACCGGCATGGTAGCAATCAAAAAAAGAATTACAGTACAAAAAACAACTGGCTGTGACCACGCGTGTATCAACTCCCATCTTCATAAGCATTCGGGATAAGCATGGAACACAACAATTGATCAAAGCACAAACCCGAGACAACACACCAGGTTCAATCCCCGGACTACAGATTAGAATGATGGTATCTCCATGCACTAGTCTAGTCAAGCTCAAACAAACCACAAGTACTCAAATTAACGACAAGAAGAACAACTCAGTAACTATGCAACTAGTCACAACGACAAGAACGACACAATGGTCAGGGCAAAGGGCGCCACCCCAGTAAGGAGCAGCATAAGAAGAATCATGGCAGCATCCGGCGCAAATCAGTGAGTTTGAAGCTCATGTTTGCGCTCCGAGAAGCTTCGGTGTCTTCCATAATCTTCAAGAAGTTGCCTCAAGTGCTCAGGCCTACAAACCCCGGCCGAAGTTCATGCCGACACCAGCGGTTGTAGCTCTCATCCTGACACTCTGCGGTTTCCTCGCCGGGCAACTTTGCACTTGGGATCCATTCCAACCACCTCTGGCAGTACCACCGCTGCCACTGCAAATCTTGTCCACTTCATCTATATACCTGAAAATGGAATTCAGTGACGGCTCAGGTGCTCATCAAAAGCACAGGGCAAACCAGATCTTTCTTCAGAAGAAGTGCACCATTCCGTACTGCGCCACCTCTGAGCTGCCCCCGGCTGAATCCACGAGCTGTCTAACAACATCCTCTGCGTCTTCACCGACAATGCCTGTTTCGGAGAACTTTGTTGCATCGGCCTGACAGTAAAATCAAGTGGTTCTTCCGCCGTCTAAGCTCAGCTTTCGCTTCAAGGAAGTTGTTGCAGCTGGAGGTCCTTGGCAAAGGGCACTCCGAGCATCTTAGCCATGGTTCTCACGAGGTAGGTCTTCCCACTCCCCGTAGGACCGGAGATGAGGATGTTCCTCGCAACAGTACTGAGAGATATGGGACAAGCGAAAAGAAGGACAGGCTCCGCATCTTTGCTTCCCAAGCGGCGGCTTGGTATAGTTCTTACCCCGAAGGCTGGGATCATCGAGGCATCTCCTCGCCCAGTTGTAATGATCGCATAAAGCCACGGACCTGGAGGCTGCCAGGAGTCAAGCCGTCGAGCAATTAACACCAAGACCGAGAATGACCGTGCAGCTGAAGCGCAACACCTTCTTGGCATCATCCTGCACTCAGCTGCTGGCAGTCTGGCCCCATGCACTGGAACAAATTTGGCGGCAGTGGGCACGCCCGCCTGCTCGATAACGAAACGGTCGAGGTATTCCTTCACCTCCTTCGGCTTCATCCGAAAGTCCCGTATGTTCTGCAAGACCTCGCGTGAAGCCAAGAGATGCTGGACTTCGGTGCCACACGGCATGAAAGTGCATGACGGCGTGGGCCGTGATGGTTCAAAGACTTCAGGTTCTCACCATGAAAAACCACAAAGCGGACCTTCCGCGCTTTCTCTTCTTCTTCCGGGGATCCTTGGAGGTAGACATCCGGAGCCGTGGAGATGCGGTCTGACACTGGAAAAGGCTGTGCCAACAGCCAAAGGGCTCTTCTGTCCGCCGAACATGTCGCCCGGCCCAGGACCAACAAATCCGCCTCCCATGCCACGTCCGCCTTGATTTACCGCTGCCTCGTGAAGGAACGCGGAGACATGTGCTCTGTCTCAGCCTGCTCGAATGGAGGTACTGAGGGCAGGGCATCAAAGATATTGCCCAGGGGTACCGGGCCTTGTGCATGAACTTGTGAACGCTTGCTCCTGCCATGCTTCGTGCTACATATGTAATATATATATATATATATGCACAAGCAAGCTCAAACGTCAGCACCTGCACAGGATTTCTTTTGCTGCTTGTTTCGGTGAAACTCTTCTTTGGTCTAGGAGTCTGCGCAGCATCCTGGACTTGGACAGGCTCTTCGAGCCTTGCTCAAACCAGGCCAAGCGCAGCTCTCGCGCGGCTCCACTCATCCACGAGCTCATCGATGGCCTGCGTGCGGGCGGGATCCACTGTACGCGGAGCTGGGCGAAGCTCACGGTGTGGAGCACCTTCCTCGCAGCTGGCATCCTGTAGACCAGCTTCCAAAAGGGCCGCGGTTTCTCCAAAGTGTTGTGCATTGCGCTCTGTTTTTTCGAGTCGTTCCTCCAAGACGTGCCCGTCTGCCTTTACCTTATCCAGCTCCCGTTGCTTGTCCTGTAATTCTTGTTCAAGACGCACGAGCTCATCTTCGAGCTCGTCTGAACTCGAGCCGGATGTAGCATCTTCTGCCGCGTTGAGTTCCAGATCAGGAGATCCACCATGAGATGTAGAAGACCTTTCCGATGACACCGAACAACTCCTGGGTTTGAGCAGACGGCCTGTATGCTTTGCAAGCTCTGTCTGCTGAGGGTCGTGGCGCTCAAGGCATTCACTCCCTGCTCTTGATGCACTGCGAGCCACAGGTAGGGCTTGGGACGGAAGGTGGACTGAGCTCAAAGGTGGGTCTGCCGACTGGCTGCGTGAGCCAGGCCCGTGCGAAGGTCTTCGCCAGACCGGCGCAGACCACTCGGGCCATTCACCGCGCAGCTGTTGCCTTGCCTCTTGCACTACGTTTGCCATGCATCGCAAGGCCGGCAAGGCTCCATGGGAGATCGGAGAGGTTCCAGCCCTAACAAGCTGTCGTGCTGGAAAAGCTTTCCTCTAAAAACAAGGTTACAGTCGTAAGTCTAACCCGAACTCAAACTCACCAGAAGAGCTCATTCATGGGAAGTCATCTACACTCATCCGAGTATGACTGTTCAAAGGCCTCCCCCCCACTGACTTGTGAGCCGCCACACAACTATGCAACTATGCTCGCGTTGCCGGGGAGATCCCACGCCCTGTCAAACCAAGTGAGCATGCCACTGCTGCCCCACTCGAGGGTCCTCCCCGGCAGGAGTTTGCGGCACACGCGCGTCGAGACGACGATCACGGAGCAGCCCAGCAAAAGCTGACTTGTTTGCCGGCTCGGTAGGCCATCGCTTGGCCCGAGCTGGGATCGCACCGAACGCGCAGCAGTGGCACTCGCAGTAGCTGCAGTCGGCCATGGCGATGCGAAGGAAAGGGCCATGAAAGCGAAGTGGACTGGCCAATGCACGGCTGTCAAGGGAGTGGTGCGGCTTTGGGGCTCATTGTGGGGTCAAAGAGCTTCTCTAAATGCGAGACCGGGCTTGATGCAAGCTTCTGTTATTGTAGCGTTCGTGACGGTTCGTGCAACACGGAGTACACTACTTGCTCCCGGAAACTCATAGTCAGGCATCCTTGATGCCAAAGGCTTTGCGAGCTCAAGAATGTGAGGCATGGTCGGGCATCTGGACACCTAGGACCTAGGCGAAAGCCCTGGCAAGTTCGATTGGCATCAAGTGGCGGATGTCTGCGGGTGGCGCAGCACCTCCCGGAGCTCTCTGGCCAAGGTCTGCTGACCCGTGAATTTGAAGGCCCGAGCCGTCAGCAAAACCCCAACATCCAAGCTTCGGAGCCGAGCTTTGAGCTGCGACATCTCTGCCTCGTCCAGAACGCTTCCAAGCTCTCCGACGCTTTTCAACGCTGAGGTCCACTCCTCCAAGGGTATGTCCACACAACGTGGCGCTCGATCGCATCCCGATGTCGACGCGACGGGATCGGAGAGCTCGAGGGGCTCCAAAGGCCCGGTCTCGGCGACGTCGGTGACATAAGTAGCAGCCTGCCAGTCGATGAGTGTCTGTTCACCTTGGAGCATGCGTTCATCCACGAGCTCCTCCACACCCACGGCCGTAACAGCACACATGCCTTTCCAGTTCGGCTTCGGCGCTCGAACCTGAGGCACAAAAAGGCGAACTCGGTGAAGCTGTGCTACTGTAGCCGCTAACCCAGACACGCAAGGCAGAAGACTCAGGCAAAGGCTTGTTTTATAAAGGCAGCTCCGGCTTCCGGCACACCGTTTGCATAAGCTGCTTGGGCAGCAGGTCCAAAGAAGATCTCGAATAAGTCATCCTTTCCTGCCCGAACCTTGGCCACGCGCTCCACCCCATTTCGGTTGACGATGCGGGCAGCGGTCGAGTTCTCCTCTCCCGCGGCCTCGCGCGTTCGGAAGTCCGACGCCCAGAAATGAAAGGTGCTCAAGCCGTCTTCATGCCCCGGGGCTGCTTCGTTGACGTGGCCTTCGGCACAGCCAAACTTATTTTCGATGTCCAGCAATGCGTAGTTCAATATAGGTCTGGCTTCTGGCACTGCAGAGTCCACGGTGGAATGGGCAAGAAAGGCATCAAACAGATTTTGGTTGTCGGTGTATGGGTTCACATAGATTTGTCTCAAGAATAGGGCGAAAAACACCAACGTCCGATATGTTGCGCGTACATAGAACAGGCCATTGTTCAGGCAGCGGGCATCCCAATGTTCCGTGACTAAGACTTCGACTCCCTGATGGTCCAATGCAGATTCTGGGGTCGTGGACGTCAAATTGTACGACCAGTACTGCCTGGTCGGCCAGGTCCGCACAGCTTAGCAACGGCACCCACATGTATGTTCACACCTGCCTCGGGTCGCAGATCTTTGACAAGGAGCACAGGTCCGTCTTGTTGTCGAACAAGAAGGAGCCAAATCGAACCTGAGAACTGAAGGACAACGGCCAAGCACTTGAAGAGAAATCATGCGAGTTTGACCTCGTGTTAGAAACAACGATGCAGACTGTCGTGGTAGGCCAGTTTATATATTCCGCAATGGCAACCACAAGGATAATCTGATAAATGACCACTGCAAAGAACACAACTAATCCTAGTGGCAGTGGCAGCAACGAAAGCCACAAAAAGCACTGCTAATGAAAAGATCCGAGAAATTGTAGAGACTATCATGAGAATACTCAGGGAAGAACGAGCAGCAGCACGGTCAAAATAGAGTGGCAGCAAGAGCAAAGACCGTGGTTAAGGTAAGAATGACATGAAGGATTAGCAGATGCAACGGTAAAAGTAAGACATACTCATGATAGGACAAGTACAGTTCTCGTACGACGCTGACGTGAAAGGAGAACCAATAGCAGCAATGATGGACGGAAGGCTTAACTTCCTGCCGCTTCGTAGCTCGCGAGCGTTGTGGCAGGACTCGCACCGGCGCATCGCGCGCCGCCCGCAGCTGAGCCGAGGGCTCCTTTCAATCTGCAGTCATCCTACATTACTCCAAGAGTACCTGCAGTAAGAGAGAGAATTTAGCTTTGTGATTGCATGTAATGCAGCAGATAGCTGTGTTACAAGCACTAGCAACGGAAGCATTGCAATTTGAATAAGTCGCTTCTAGACTATCTCGGCACACCTAACACGGCACTTTACCAAAACCCTTGCCTAGCCAGTTCGCATGTCAGCATACCTTGCACCAGCAACCACAACTTTGACTCTGCTGGTGTGCATGCAAGCCGAGATGCGGACAAGTGAGGACCGTACTTGCTCTTGACTGGTTTAGAGATACTGACGACAACCGACAAAGGTCATCTGTGACCAGCAACCCAATTCGTGGAGGAAGAAGGTAACCAGTAAGTCAGTACTCAGTACCAGTAGTAAGACATCAAGTGTCTGCATCTCCACCAGCCACATTCACATGATACTTACGACTGGCAGGCCTGCAAGATGAAGGTGTCAAAGTCGATCCAAACCGTGTCTATTGCAGCGCTGAGTAGCATCGGTAGGAAGGCATGCTTGATGTAGATCACGTGTCCTCAACTCGCGTGGCACGACTGTCGCGCGCTTTCTTAGCTTATCCATGAAACTAATGGAGGAAGCACATCATACATCCACATTGCGTTGAGGAACCTTCCACCGCCGGGACGCACAGGACCGTCGTTTCTTTTGGGGACTCGCCTGCAGACTGTTGTAGGCGCACCCAGAAGTACGCCAGCTGCTTCTCTCTCAACTTTACCTGATGTCGCTGTCCGAGCCAAGTTGCGAAACAAGTCCAGCTTCGAATCTGCAACAGCCTGATGATGCGTCGAGACTCGCTACAAGTACAATAGCAAACCAGGCAGCTGTCCTGGTTGCACTTGGCAAACGCATCCTGGTCCATGCACGCCACGATCAGCGCCGGCAGGCCAACCACCAAAGCGCGCTTGATGAATCCTCTGCAGGGACAGTGATACTGACGCATCGACACGTGGTTTTTTCACGGCCAAGCGCTGCCCTGGAACTGAGACCCCACGATCCCCAAGGGCATATGCCAGGTGCCTTGAGCCCGCTTACTGCACGGTTTTTGGGTTTTGCTCGCACTCTTGGGTTTGAGGTTTGGACGCTCTAACACTTCGAACTCCTGTTAAGAGCTTAGTCTCGTCTGGCACGATTCAGCAGAGCTTCATCTGCTACGACGCAGATGCAATCGGGCTGCAATGAATGGGGTGGGGCTTGGGGAATGGAGCACACGCCGCGGGAACAACACCCACGCACAAACGGAGCCATGACAAGTCCCTGACCATTTTGCTAGAGATTCTCTATGCAGGTCACCGGCTCACCAGCGACAGGGTACGGTTGTCACGCACTTTGCCCCAACCTGTCCCGTAATGTAGTTCGCAAAAGGCAGGCCACCAACAGCAGTCACGTAAACCATTACCTCTGGATCTTCTTGCACAGATTTCAACTGCGCCAGGAACGAAGTAACCAGCCGAGTTAACGAGTGTCCGTGCTTTCCAGCATTTGCAGATAGGTGTGTCAACCTCAAGGCAGGATCCAGTCGCAAAGCGTCAAAAGCGTGCGGCTCGGCAGGTAGCTCGCAAAGTTCGTCGGAGGACCACCTGAGTCGAAACCCGGGGAACGCCGCTTTTAGATCCCGAGTTATGCTGGGGAATACTAAGTTCTCGGCACAAGGTCGTAGGAGCGAAGGGCAAACATTCCCATCTTTGCCAATCCATGAAAAACTCCCCAAACTGCAGCAGCCCTGAGGATCTCCGGGGTGAAGGACCGCATTATCCCATGGGCCATATTGCTGAAGCGCTCAAAGAGGGAAGGATTGGACATCAGGGCCAACATGGCGGCTGAAACTCCAAATGCCGCAGCGCCCACAGGACATGCCGGCACATAGGTAGTTGAGAACTCCCTGGGATCTTTCATCGTTGCAGAGACTAGTCCGTCCAAGCCACGCAAAAACTTCAGGCCCTCGATGTCACGTCCAGATGCGTATGGGGTGTGACGTTTGATCATGTCCAGCATGCGCTCAGATGTATACCCGGCAACCGACACGCCTTTGCACACAAGATTGTCTGGCGGAATCTCCTCCATCTGGTGCGGCTTGATTTCGGACAAGTAGATATGAAGCAATGCGAACGTGTTCCACTCCGTTGCAGCTGTCACGTGCAGGGGCGCCAGGTCCAGCAGGACGGACAGATCACGGGACAAGAGCTCAATCAGTGTGTCTCTTTTCAAATGCTCCAGGAGCTTGGTGTAAGCGGCCTGTAGGGGGCTTGCCGCAAGCCGGCTGCTGTCCAGGTAAGCCATGCATGTAGCGAAAATTGACGCTGTAACAGCTCCGAAGGGGCACTCGTTCAATGCATGTGGGAAGCGCCACAAGACTACGGCAGCAATCTCCAGGATTTCGAGCTGCAAGGCCTCACGCTTGGCCGCAGCTGCAGAATCCTCTCTGATCAACAAGCTGCGATCGTCCAGCGTCGCTTTCACCAAATCGCCCAGTCGCTGTCGCAAAAAAGGCCAGTTCACAATAGGCTGGCCCTTGAACGCACGCCGGCACTCATAGTCTTCGATTTCCACTGCAGGAAACCAAGACGTGAACTCAGATGGCTCCGCATTCTCGCACGGCACCAGCGCCCACAAGACCACTCCAACCAACCAGCGGCCTCAAACACGACTAAGTGAAATCATACAGCTGGAAAAAGCACGACTCTGAGCAAGGCCTGGGCAACCTGGCATTCTGGAGCTGATGTGCCGACATGAGCCAGAACATCTGATGGAGAAGCAGGGTGGATAGATGGTCTATGTTCTTGTGTGCACGGGGCTTCAGGGCTTGGCAGGTGCATGGTCCATGTGGTTGGCTCTACGAACTCTGTCCTTATAATGACGCCTCTTTTTGGGCCAACAAGACATGCCAGGGTGGTGGTTGCTTGCTGTGTGCGCTGGTCAGGTCTGCGACTCTTTTCAAAATCGTCGTCGAACTCTGTGCACGAAAACGCATCACGCCATCCAGGCACGTTGGACGGCAAAGGGATCGGAGATCGGGCATCCACCCTTTTCCACTTGATGTGGGGCTCCACCTTCGTCCGCCGTGGGCCGCCTTTAGCTCGTCTCGCCCTGTCGAACGCCTCTTCAACTCTTCTCCTCTGGACTGGCGGGGAGGGGGTTCTTCCCGTCTTCTCCATGCTTCCCAAGCTCCTCCGATCTCCAGATCCAAACCCCTCGGCATCTTGATGGCATTGAGCTGTTGGTCGGTCGGTCAATCAGGCATCGCCCAAGTCGAAAAACTGCCCTTGCAATGCACACGCTACAATTCTGATCTGTCACCAACGGCAGCGAGATTGGGGTGAGAAACTGCGCGGCGAAATTCTAGAATCACGAGCTCCGCATCATCTAGCTCAACATACGTCTGCTTATCGGAAGCGATAACACATTCACCCTGCTGCCGTTTCGCTCCATGAAACGAGCTACACCGCCACTTGCTGGATGAACTCGCCAACCTCTTCACAATACGAAATTGGAGATGACCCATGTCGCCGGATGGCAGCTCGAAGGCATCTTGCATGGTGAAGACGTCCGTCTTCATCTTGGGTTTCGCAGACTTTTTAGTAGATGGATTCCTTAAGGTTAAGAAGCCCAGGCCATCTCGCCAGGCTGCCCAGCCGTAAGGCCCCATCTCGCATGCACGGAAGATGGCCCAATGCGTGTCTTCAAGTGTCAGTGAATTCTTCCGTGCCCACTGCAAAGCCTCGGCCAGGACGTCCCACCGACCTGGATCCATGAGGTCAGGCGAAACATAGAGCTCCTGCAGCAATAGGCCCAGTGAAGCATGCGACCAAACTTCCTGTGCCCAATCGAGCTCGTTAGCAAGATGGAGCCCGAGCGCCCGAGCATCACCATGCTTTGACAAAACAGCGCCATGGATCATCAGGCGCGATATGGGGAAGAACCTCGCGCGTTGCACAATGGCTGCTGAGATAATGCACCTGGACAGACGGTGTGGCCACAATCAGCTGCAACGACCGTTCAAACGCAGAACCTTCCACGCTTGCCAGGTCACTCACGGAAGAGCTGCCAGCGCTGTCGGATGGTCAAGCCCGGCCGCTCATCTTCAGAGAAGGCAAGAACGTCTCGGTGGCCCCGCCAGATGCTGTCCACCTGAAACGTGCAACCCAAGTGAATACGATCCACGCAGTCATATACATAAACCAATAATCAACCCTCCATGGAGGTGAAGCGAGGCACCCAAAGAAGGAAAAACGGACTTGGCCAGGTCCCCGTGGTCAAGTTGATCCAGATTCGATCCTTTGCAGCCTGAGAGTACAAAACGGAGCTGCAACTGGAGCTGCCGCACATGGTCGACATGCCCCAAATAACTTAAGCTTCAGCCCAGCTTCCACACTCCTGCAGGGTGGAACAACAAAAATGCATTTTCAACGGAACAATTCGTCGAGAAAAGCACGCGGAGCTACGAGTGACGTCGGATGCATGCCCTCAGCAAGTGCATCTGTTTTGCTATCTTCTGGCACTGATGGATTCCCCATGCAATTTCGATCTGCTGATTAGACATCTCGCACGAAGGCAAGCGAAGGATTTCCCATGTGGCTGATAGTCACGACGGGACTTTCGCAAGCTCGGACATGTGATGGTTGGAGAAGTGCAATGACTACTGTCCGGCTAGCGACCATGCCCATGTCGGGAAGAAAAATCTGTCCTCACATGCATGCAATGAAAGATGCCGACAACCACTCAACTTCAGAAAGGGAAACTTCGTTGAAGGTTCGCTGCTACGCAAAGTTCTCAAGGAGGAGGACGAAGCGATGAGTTTGGTACACTGTGTCTTGTTTGTACGAACTGAGCCTCGTGGTTTGCAATACACTTTTTTTCTGTTCTGCTGCGTCCCGAACTTGCCGGGTGAGTCAGTTCTGATGTTTGATGTTGGACACTTCGCAATGAGGTCTGCCCAAGGAGGGCCTAATATTATGTACCAACGTTGGACTGGTCACACATTCAATCGGCGCACGAAATGGACATCTACACTGAATCGACACCATGCCGCAACACGACAATATGGTGTGATTATTGCTAAGTTGTGTCTTTGCTCCTGTCCTCTGTCTAGCAACGTGGCTTTTTGGTTCCACTTCTCGCAGAGCATGCGAGAACGAAAGCATGGCTTCGATCTCACCTGGAACTTCACTCGGGTCGCCCGCAATGCCATCAAACCTTGTGATGCATCTACGAGCATCGACTGCAAGGGTCAGGCCATGCTAATGGCAAGCATTCGGCTAAATGTAGCTATCCATGCCGAGCATCTTGAATAAGTTTACGCCCGCCTCGTGCCGGAAACTGGCAGCTGCTGCTGTGAACTTCCTCCACCAGTGTCGAGGTTGTAAGCGCAAACGATGCAGAACAGAAACAACGAACATGCAGCTGGTTGCGGATGTTCCGCCCGCAGATTGCACATGGCACATACACCCAAAGGCTGTGCAAGCCAAGCATGTGCAGCAAAGCATCGCTCTGTACATAGGACCTGAGCGGGTGTCAGCGACTGAGCAGGGGCACTGGGCCCTGACACGGGGCTTGCGACCATCAACCGCACCTGCAAGAGAAAAGCCATGCCTGAGCGGCATTCGCTTGCGTTACCCCTGGTACCCCCTGATGCTACAACATGCCTTGCAATGCGGACGCGACAGGCTCGTACAGCAATCATGACTGGAGGTACCGGCTGAGTTAAGACTCACAGTAAATCCGAGATGCTCGTTGACTTCCAGGCCTCGTCGCTTAGCTTCCGCTACTCGGAGGTCCTTAGCCTCACCATAGCCACCCCAGGGAGAAAGCCAGATGCCATTGCTACCTCGGTACACAAACACGAGTAGTGGAAAGACCATGCATAGCTTCCCTGCAAGTGGGTGACAGTTTCTGGAGTCTGCCGCTCGCACCAAGTTGTCAAAGCCGTTCGGAAATCTTGCCACATTGAAAGCCCACATTCCTCGCTGTGGATCGTCCCAGCCGTCGTCCCACAAGAATGAGTCAATCTGCACACCCCGCTTCGCGACTAATTCATCATGAAAAGTGCTGATTTTCTCAAGCGCAGAAGTCTCGTTCATTTGGTCTTGCGACAACTCAGCCAACAACTGTCGCAACCAAAGGCTTTGCTGAACTGTTGTTGCACGGCGAGGATCGAAGAAAGACTGATCTTGCCATGACGTGAAGTCGTACCAACTGTTGTAATGGACCAGTGGCCCTTGCCAGGAGTGAGGGCGAGCTTGTGACAAGTACAGGTTGAAAGAACGACGAGCTTGCGACGTTTCTGCGAAGGCACCTATGACCGCGCCGTAGCCAAAACTTTCAGTCTTCCAGTCCATCGATGCTAAATGATTGACGGAGCCCACCATATCACTGCCAGAAGTCTTGTTCAGGTCATGCGCAGCGAGCGGATGCTCCACTGCAGCAAAGAACTGGTCGTCAAGCAGGATCGGCGATCCAGGAACGCTACCAGTCGACGATGTCTGGCCGCAGCTTGCAGTGTGCTCAGTGTTTATAGCTAGTAATACCAACTTTGCTGGAAAAGCGCGATCGGCTGCCAGTTTAGCTGACACCCTGAGGAAGGCTGCAAGGCCGTCATCTTCGGCCCGCGATTGTGCAGATTGCATGGTCACACTCCAAGCAACATGGAGGCCAAGCCTGGTCAAAGGTCCAGCCCAAGCACTGTGGGCGCTCCAATGCTGGTCTACCATGATCACTTGCAATGCACGCCATGCTATGCCATGCTGCGGGCAGTCGAGTTGGACGGAAAGCCGGCTGAATTCCACGACCGGGGGCTCACGCATGATGCCTTGGATCTTTCAAACCAGTCCGGTACTGGGCTAGCTTCATCCATGTTTAACGGAGCCGGGGCACACTGCGATGAGTTCACCCCAGTGATTTCTGTCATTGGCCTCCAACTACAAACGAGGCTCGCTCAGCCTTGCCGCTCTACATAGATTTCTGCACAGCTTCGTGCACCGTCCATCTGCCTCTCTTGCAGATGCACCTCCATGTCAAACAATGGCTCCAAACGAAGGCGATTGCCTGCAGAACATCGGACTCACAGCAACAGGCAATCTCCACAGCATGCTGACAAAACAGCTACTCCACGGCTCGTTGCACTGCCACTTCCCGGGCTTTGAAGCTGCACCGGACCTGGCCCGTGGTTTAGAACCAAAGTAGAGCAAAAGGATTACGAAACCGTCTGGCCTTGGCTTCCACGTCACGGTGCCCTGCAAGACCCCCAATGCTTCTTCCAGCTGGAACTCGAGGCCTCCGGCTCTAAGCATCCAAGTCTCTGCCTGTTGACGGGCCATGGCTGCATCTCTGGAAAGACTAAGAAGTGACAAGCGAACACGCGCCTTCCCACCGATCAGGTCGAGGGCCGCGAAGACCGCAAACGCGAAAGCACGTAACATGCTGCATGCGACGGTTGCAGAAAAGCTAGCGTCAGGCAGCCCCAGGCCGACAAATCCTGAGCATTCCTGGGCCCTGCAAAGCACTCAAATTGAATTTGTGACTGGCACGGCAGCAAAGATCAGGACAAACCCGTCGACATGCAGATGACCAAAGGCAGCTTCTGCATCGACCTTTTTCCCGTGACCGTCTCTGTGAAAACTGGGTTCAGGTCTAGCTGTCTCTAGCTTCATTAAGAGATGATTGATTGACCAGTTGATATGCTGGTCCGAAACATCAGTCCTCCTTTTTCTTCTTCACCCTTGGTGATGATAAGGCTCACAGCTCGAGGACATGAAAGCTGTCGAGACACGAACATCTCTCCATGTCTCGTGCCAAGTTGCAGCTCCAATGAAAACGTTCCACCAGGCTCGCCGCCTAGCGTGACAAAGCCTGGCGGGTGCTCTTCTCGCCACTTGGACTTTATTCTGAATTTGGTGGAGTGTGGCCCAACATATTGCGTGCTGCCTACGGGCCTGCGGGCATGCCCAGACTCAATCATTGACCGCCCCCGCGTAAGACTTACGCGGGGAACGAGATGTTGGTTTTCGTTTTCCCTGAAAGTAATGGCAACAATGGCCCAGCCCAGTGTTCAGCCTGATACATGAACCGATGGCATCCTGCGACCAGATAATGCAGCCACGCTGCCATAGATCAAGTTGTCTCCGATGGTTTGAAAATCACCATCAAATGCCAACTTGCCATCGGTGAACTGGATGCGCCGTCCAGTGAAAATGCCTTTGAAGCCTTTCTCCTTAAACACCGTCCATGCAGATAAGCAGTGCCGGGAACCCTATGCAAGGTATGCAGAGTGCCTGGTTCTGCAGCCTGCTCTTGATGCTGACCCAGGCACTAGGTAGTCGGGTGACTCTGCACGCAGATACTTCAGGAATTCCTGGTACACTGCTGGCTGCAGTTGGACTGCGCAAAAAATCGCTTGAACACAGTTTTAGTTTTGGCCAAGGCTTCCTCCCGTGTCATGCCTTTGCTTGCATCTGCGCAATTCTCTGCAAACTCGCCCTCGGATGGAAATCCTTCGACAGTGGCCACCTGGGACGTGCACAGAAAGTCAACCCACAGAATTGCAAAAAACCCTACGCACGATATCTAAGCGGGGACGCATGGGCTGTTCCGGATTCACTCAAGCAACCACACTGACCAAGTTGTCAACATCCGGCCTGCTTGAAGAACTGCTGCAACATGGGCAGAGACATGTGTTGACAATCCTCCTCTTTCGGCATTGGCTGCTTAAAATCGCGCCACTGCTCGTTGAACTTGTGGAATGCATAAGCCGTCATATCTTGATCCTTTTGCTCACCTGATTCATATGCGATCGGGTAGTCTTGGTTGAATGTGACTATGTCGTCGATGTCGCCACGCTTGGAAAAAATCTGCGCCTCACTGTCGGATGTAGCTGTGAACTTTAAGTCCAGCTGTTCGCCTCGGAAAAGGCCTGGGTGCTGAATGTTGCCGATAAACTTGTCGCCTGCCACAATGTGTGGCAGGTGCCACGGCGGGCGCTGCTTCTTCTGCTCAATCTCATCTGCCTTGTTTTCCAAGCCAAGTTTCTTCAAATACAACTGTTTCCTCTCTGTGGGGTTGGAGAAGCCACCTGCCTCCTGGCGTTTCACCAAGCGGAGCTGCTGACCCATCCATTTTTGCATGTTCTGATTGACAGTGGGGTCTCGCCGCAAAATGGGTTTGTATGCTAGTCTTGCGACAAGCTTGCGAGGGCTAGATCTTGTCCTGATCCCTGGCACCCAGCTGTAACCTGGGAGCATTACTAGCACGACGCCCAGCAGCAAACATCGGCACAAACCGTGCCGCGGCCCGGCCATCCTGCCTGCTCTGCTAAGCCAGCAACCACCCGTTCCGTCTGGCTGGCTTGATCCAAAAAGCAAGGCACGCAACGCTGCAAATTGTCAAATCCAATGCGCTCAGGCCTGGGCAGATGTTCCGAAGTCCCTACAGATGTATGGGGGGAAACGTGCGGTGCTCCAGGGGAGGTGTGGTCGAGTTTGCTTTTTTACACACCTTTTTGCGTTAGCAGTTGAGCTGTGTCGGCTAGGTCCGGCTCCCAGGGGAGGCTCAATCCCGCGTTAGGGCCGGCTCAGCAGCGGCAAGCGGCCCTTGCGGGTCGGCCAGGTCCAAGACCTCATCCGAGGCCGGCGCATCAGCAGGTACCAGTGCCGGCATGGCCCGGGCGCGCCCTACAGCGCTGCGTGACCAACGGCCTGTTGGACAGCAACAGAAAGCACGCTCCACCAGCAGCGGGTCCACGCTGCTTTCGCGGGTGCTCGCACAGCCGGCGGAGCTCTGTCCGGCGGAGGGCGAGAAGCGCCTGCGTTCCACCGCCCGCCGATTTCGGTGCGCAGAACTTGCGTGGCCGCGCCGGGGCGGGGCTCGCCATCTCGCGTTAGAGGCGAAACGAGGGTCCCAGCGCAGCACAGGGTTCCACACAGCGGTGCGGCACCGTACATGACGAGGTCACGCGCCTACGATCGTCAAGCGTGATGCACCCGGCGCAGTGGTGTTGACGAGCTATTGTTGGGGCACCACGTGTCCAACGGCTTCGCGCGCTCAACCAGCTCGGCTCGGCTATTATAAGTAGCCAGGAGGCCAGTCCGGGGGCACACGAGCGCATGGTCTCCCAAGGCATCATCGTGGCGGCCACACCCAGGTTCCGAGTGCTCACGCGCGAGCGGGCGTGGGTCTCGGAATTGAGAGAGGTCGAATTTGAACTTTCACCTGCGAGTTTACCTCCGGCATGCTGCAGATCAAAGCGCGCCCGAGACCGTGCGACTCCGACACGGCCAACACGATTTTGCTCAGACGGGGCACAGTAACAAGGCCCAGTGACACAGCAGGCAAGCCCCCGGCAGCATCCAACGAGCGAAACACACTTCGCAGGAGTAGCTTCTGGCCAGTCTGGTGGAGATGGGCTGCGCGTGCTGTGTGCAAAGATGGCGGGCCAATTAAGAATGGCACCCTATACGCGGGCAGAGACTAGAATACAAGCAAGGATACCCTCCGATGCCCAGTTCGACCCAGTGCAAGTCCAAGCCCAAGCCAAAGTGTCCAACTACTGCAGTGGGCAACATGGGGCATCGCTGCGAAATGCTGCTGCGAGGACTGGTAAACGATGGTAAACGAACGACGGCAGGCTAGGTGCGAGGGACATTGGAGGAGCGAACAGCCAACATCTCCTCAAACACAATTCCGAGGAACAGGGCGGTAAATCTCTGCATCCCTCTGCAAAACCCCCGAAGTTGATCGACCTTGCCCCGGTGGTGCTCTGAGGATGTGAAGTTGGATCGCAATACATGCACCACCTGGCGAGGAGTCCCGTTCGGCATGCGAGTGCGATCTGCATTGCCTGGCTGGGAGTATGGTTGCCGAACCCGTCGTGATCGCAGCGAGCCAAGCACCTGCTTGCAGTCCAGCCTGGGATAACTGGGTGGCATGTCAGGCGACAACACGTGCTTGCGGAAGTGTTGGGAGTACGCGTAGCATGCAACTGCCAACCATGCAGCCAGTCTCCCGGGCCTGCGTCGTTTGCCAGCCGGCTTCCTGCAATAGTCTCTGCGCCAACACATCGGACATCTCTGCCTGTGCCGCCTTCCAACGCGCGAGATCGGGCACGTGCGCTCGCCGGCAGCGCATCCGCCCGCGCCAAACCGACCAAGCCTCTTTCAGCTGGTGGTTTGTCCCCTCGCCAAACCGCGTCTCCCAGCTCGCAGATGCCTGCCCACTTCCATCGCGAAGGCCTGCATCCTGCCGAAGTGTGAAGCTATGCCGCCGTGGGCTTCGATGGCCCTCATCCAAGGCTGCCCGGGAATGCTCAGGGACTGTAGAACGACAGACAAATCACCAAGGAAGGCAAGCGGGGCGGCGTGGCACAGCACTTCATTAGGGCGAGAAGCGCTGGGGCCAGGGCATCCCTTGCTCGCAGCCTTCGCCTTGCGGCACGACCCGACAGGCCCCCGCGGCGTCCAAAAGCAGTAGCTGGAGAGCTGCCATAAAAGAGCCATACGAACGGGAGCAGCTCTCGTGTGACAGACTCGTATGACCTCGCGTAGTTTGCGGAAGAAAGCCGCGCTGGACATTTTTTTTCCGCACCTTTTTGCGTCTGCGTCGGTAGTCCTCATGGTCTGGGGTACCTACGTGAGCCGGCTACTACGCCAGCCGGCTGGGGCCTGTTCGCAGGCTGCCCGCGAGCAACTCACCCAACGGCACCTCTTGGTCGTCAGATGGGTCGCTGGGCCCCGCGGTGGGCAGCTCGAGGAGCGAGCAGGCGTGCGCCCGGAGCGCTGCGAACGCGGCCTGGGCTTTCCAGCGCTGGTTCAAGGCCTGGCGAG